CCCAGCAGCCGTGGGCCCCCGACGATCGCGGAGTCCGCTTGCGGGGCACCTGCGTCAGGCGCCCGGCACGCAGTGACGGGAGTTGTGGTCATCCCCACTTTGCAGACGGGAAACTGAGGCCGGAAGCCCCGCAGCTGGGGAGTGGACGGGCCTTTCCCGCCGGGCGCCAGCCTGGGGAGGACGCGGAGGAGTGTTGGCTCCGGAGCCGGTGGCGCGTGTCCCCTCCCGGTTGCGGCAGCGCGGGGCGGAACGCAGCGTGCTCGCCTCCCGTGCCGAAGGCCACCTCTGTCCGACGGCGGGGCAGGGTGAGGGGCAGGCCCTTTGTCCAGGTGAGTCCTCGGCGTTAACCGAGTAACTTAAGGTGGGACTCGGAGGGTGAGGACCCGCATCCTGTGTCCGTCCCTCCGTCATCAGGGGCGGGGGCTGGCCCGGACGGCCGGACTCCGCAGAGGCGGCTCTGCCCCTCCTTGCAGCAGGTGCTGTCTGTGACCACTGCTCAGTGTCCGTCAGCTTTCGTCCTTTCTTTCCATGTCCCGTTTTCACTCCTTGCCCCAAATAAGAGTTCCGGTTTTCTTACATCATACTCAAGTCGTTCTTGCAAACCACACCGAGGAAAGGTGTCTTTCCCGCCCACGTGAGTCTCAGAGCTCTGTGGGCAGGGCCAGAGAGCCGGCAGCCTCGGAGGGCTCTGCAGGGTCTGAGGAAGAGGCTTTCCTCCCTGGAAACATCTCTCTTCAGAAAAGCCTCACTGAGACTTAAACCGGCGGGCGTGGTTGCTTTTCCACTTCGCTTAGGGCCAGCGGCCCCCTGCTGTGCTGTGAGGTTTTTCTGGAAGAATCAGCATGCTTTGCTCTGGGTGAGGCTGTGGGTTGGAAGGTCAGTCCTGATCTTTTGCTGGGTCGAGAGCTTCAGTTCAGTCCCCACAGGTCTGCTGGTGCTGTCCAGGTGGCAGCCACTTGACAAGTGTTCCTTACTGAATGAGCACACCAGGTCCCCAAATCGCCTCGTACTGCAGGCCTCACGTGTCCCCACTGGCTCACCTGCTGTCACTCCTTGGCATCCTTGCTCCTCGCTGGTGAATGTGCCTCCTCCTCACCTGAGACTTCTCAGCAGCTCACATGCTGCCCCCACCCATATTCCTCTCGATCCCCCTCATCTGCCATGGTTTTCATTTTCCCCAGGTCCCAGGTGTGCACACCTTCAGCAGGTCTTGGGGAAGATGGCGGCCCTAGGGGACGTTCAGGAGTGCCCACCTGTCCCATCCCCTGTCAATCTCTCATCACCGGGGACACCTGGAGCCCAGCACCACGAGGCACAGCTTCACCTCCATGGGCACCAATACGGTACTCATCCCAGCCCACTGCGCTCCCTCTGCCCCGTGTCATTGCCACAGAGCTCTCCTCTCTGACTCACCATCCGGACCATCCCAGAGGGGCAACCAGACTCTTGTGCAGCTGATGCTGAGGCCCCTGCACCCTCAGGCCAGGCGGGGCTGGAGCCAGGAGCAGAGCCCTAAGGGGTGATGCTGGGCTTTGGTTGGGACTGAGGCAGCAGTGATTGAGGCTGTGGGCTGAGCCCAAGTTCTGGTTCCCTAGGGGACAGTCCCCTGGGCCTGTGTTTCTTTCCTGAGTTGGGGGGTGTGGAAGGAAAAGTGGCCTTAAAATCTGAGCCCCAAAATTGGGAGCAACTCATCCCTCTCTCTGAGTCTTCATTCTTGTTCCAGGAGAAGAGATTCCAGAGTCTTTACCAGGCTGATTTGGGTGTGGTCCCCGAGGGACCTGCAGGGATGTGGCTGCTGGCCTTGCCCCACCTCCAGTCACCACTGGTCACCTGGTGGCATCTGGAGATCAATGTGTGGGGGTGTGTCCCAGCCCCGCAGTGACCCTGGGCCCAGCTCGCTTTGGGTCAGGGCATCCTGAAGTTCTGTCCTTGCTGCACATCCACAGGAGGCCTCACTGCTCTCACAGCTGAGACGCTGGTGGGTGCCACATCCCTGGCCCAGCATGTGAGCTGATGACAGCAGGGACGAGGTCCCCCATAGGGTGAGCTTAGAGGGCCAGTGCCAAGCCCAGGAGGTGGGGCACACTCTGTGCCCAGGGTCCTTGCTCTTAGGGGGTCTCAGCATTATGGCGAGTGACAGTGATTGCTTCAGGCTGTTGAGAGTGACTGTGCTATGTGCCAGGCTCTGCCAGGACTCTGTGTAGAAACCCAGTGGCAGCCCGCTTAGATAAGGACAGAGAGGGCAGGTGGCTCACATAGGGTCATACACAGCTAAGGAATAATGGGATTTGTCCCAGGTCAGGACTGGAACAGGAGCCCCTAGTCCTCCCTGTCCGCTGTCTGGCTCCAGGACCTCCCGGCCCCACCCGTCCCTGTGAGAACACTGGGAAGGGGTGCCTGCCTGCAGCCTGCCCTTGTCCTGATGAACCAGGCCGGGAAGTGCCTGGAAGGAGCCCAGACTGCAGCCAGCATGCACTCTGTGCCAGCCCTTTGCTGGGCCCTGCATGAAGCAGCTCCCATCTCCAGCCACCTCTCAGTCCATGATGGTTTCTGGACCTTCCCAGGGCCCCCAGCCTGCTTCCCCGTCCTCCTCCACCCCTATTCAGTCAGAATTTTGAGACTCACACATTACCTTCTCACATCACCCTCACAACACCTGGCAAGGTAGGTCCTCCTGTCCTGTTACAGTGGGGATGTGGAGGCCCAGAGATGTAGTGGAGGCCAGCGGAATTCAGATCACATCAGTCTGACTCAAGCCCATGCCCTTGACCACCCTACTGGGCCTGGTGAGGTGGGGCTTCTCTTGAGAAGATCATCTTTGGGAGAGGTGGGCAGGCAAGCAGATCTTCTTGGGGCAGCCTAGGCACACTGGGGAGGGGCTGCTGGAGCGGGTTCTGCAGGACAAGAAGTCTGGTGCCAGAATGGAGGGTGGGCCTGACCCCAGGCCCCCTGAGCCCATGCAGGGTCAGGCTCCCCTGACTCTGTCTCCACCAGCTATGGCCTGCCCAGAGCCCAGAATGCCAGGCTTGGGTCCCTTGACCCACGGTGCCCTAAAGTCCTCAGGAGCCTTACCCCATGGGAGGGGTGTGCAGCTGCACATGTGCTGTGCCAGAAATGAGGCACAGAAGACAGATGAGCGTGACTGTAAAGAGCAGATGGGGGGTTGATGGGAGCTAGTGCGGCAGTGTGGCAGGGACCACAGAGCAGGCCCCTCTCGTGGGCACCAGGCAGCTCTGGAGGAGGTGCCATGGGGAGGCAGAGGCGGGGCTTGGGCAAGGCCACCTGGCTTCTGGTTGGGGAGGCTGTAGCTAAGGCATGGTAGAGCCTGGGAAGGCTGGAGGTGGCCTTCGTCCCCTCCTTGCCCAGATGACCAGCTCCCTCTGCCATCCCAGACAGAGGAGACAGTGGCTTCTGCCCTGACTTCCAAGCAGTCGGCAAGGGCAGGGACTGCCTCTCAGAGGCTCGAGCTCATTTGCTCTGTTTTCTGGGTCTTCAGGAGTGCCCTGCATCCACAGATTTCTTAGCAGAGAAGACCCAGCATTCTGGAACCTGCCCGGGGCTCTCCTACCAGTTAGGGGTCAAGCCAGGAGGTTGAGCTCCTGCCTCCCAGACAGTCTGAGATGGGCCAGGAAGAGGCTCTGGGGGGCCAACCCTAGGACACCCGAGTCTCCCAAGCCCAACCCTGGCACGTGGTCATTTCAAGAGCTGCTCCAGCCTTGCACAGTGCTGAGAACCTGGCTACAAGGTGTCAGGGAGCAGAGGGGGTCCTCAGGAGAAGCCGTTTGTCAGCTGGGAGGGGAGTGAAGGGCACAGGGAGCAGCATAAACAGAGGGACTCAGCGATGGCCCCCACGGGCATGCAGCTGGGGTTCCTGGCCACACCCTGGGCCTGCCTGAGCCTCTCAGAGCAGGGGAGCCAGGACTTGGTCCTTCTTCTCCCAGAACCTCTCTGTCCGCAACAGAGATGCAGATTGGGAGCCCGGGCTGAGCTGGGGGGGCTGAGGAGACTGTATTGTACCCCAAGGTTGTGCCCACCAGAGCTGGTGCTGCCAGAGCAAGTTCTGGGAGGTTTGGTCAGGAGGCCTGCAGGTAGAGGGGCAGTTTGTGAGCAAGAACCGGTGATGAGGGGAGGGCTGAGCCCCTAGGGTCGGTGTGCCTAGTGCCTAGGCAGGGAGGATCCTGGGGACAGGGCAACACTCCTCCCCAGTGCCTTGTCCTGTGTCACCTCTCTCTTGGCACCGCACAGTGCAGGTGGCAGGCCCCACCCCCAGGCATGGACAAGGGCAGTGGTTACCTGGCACTGGGGGCACCCAGACTAGGCCTGGCTTGGCCGAGGGAGGTGGCTCATAGTCACCTTCCATGCTGTGGTCAGAGGACAGGTGAGGCGCCATGGGAGGGGAAAGGGGCCTATAGCCCCGGCCAAGGTGTGGTGAGCTGATGACTTGGGAAGTGGGACCTTGGGGCATGCAGGGCCCCTCCCTGGGAACACTGAGGACCTTGCTCACTGGAAGTGGCTACTTCCACCCGATCTCTGGGCCACAGTCAGGGGCACAGTCCTGCGACTTGGTCAGGCAGTAGGGAGCCTGGGAGGGAGGCTTTGTCAAGTGCCAGCAGGAGAGCAGGCTCAGGGGACCTTGGGGCCAGTTGGGAGCAGGCACGGAACTGCGGTGGGAGAACCCGAGGGAGCTCTCAGACAGGGCTTGTCCATGGTGGTGTGAGCGATGGTGGGGTGAGAAGGCAGTCAGGAGGTCAGGCCGCAGTCAGCCAGAGCAACAGGAGGGGAGCTAGTGGGAGGGCAGCTCAGAAGCTGCCCGGCCTTTGGCTCAGCTTCCTGGGCTGAAGGGGGTGAGCTCCCAAAGCTGTGTTCTCAGGAAGGCTTCCTGGAGGAGGAGGCTCTTGAGCCGAGCTGGGAAGGAAGGTAGTGAGTGATGCCATGAGCAGCAGCACCAAGGTGGCTGGCCCTGCCACTGTGGGGGTGACTGGGAGTCGTCGGGAGGGCAAGGAGGTATGCTGTGTACTGGGGGGCAGGTGGCACTGTGCCCAGGCTGGTTATAGAGAGGAGGGGAGGCAGCACTTTAGAGGGTGGGAGATAGCCCACAGCCTCCCTGCCCCGCCAGGCTCCTCCCGCTCCAGTCCTGAGGTGCTGTCCCAGCCGTCGGACCTGGATCTCCAGGATGTGGAGGAAGTCGAGATCGGCAGAGACACCTTCTGGCCCGGTGAGAGCAGGAGCAGAACCCTCCTTGGGCGGCCTGGGGCCCCTTCTGGCCCCTTGCTCCAGCTAACTTCTGCCCCCGCCCCCCAGGCTGTGAGTACAGCCCACCCCCTCCTGGGGAACACAGACTCCAGTGGTCACCTGCCTCAGTGGACTCCCTCCCCTCCCCCAGCTGCCTCAGGCTGGGGTCTCTGACTCAGGACACCACTGTCCCCTTCAGATCAGCAACTGTACAGCCCACCCCCTCCTGGGGAACACAGACTCCAGTGGTCACCTGCCTCAGTGGACTCCCTCCCCTCCTCCAGCTGCCTCAGGCTGGGGTCTCTGACTCAGGACACCACTGTCCCCTTCAGATCAGCAACTGGGAGTCATTCTGGGCCCGCCTCCCCCGGTGTAGTGTGTTGGGCCTGCCACCTGTCCCCACAGCCCAGCTGGGGCTGTGATAATCCAGACCCCTCCACCTCAGGGCTTCCAGCCCAGCATGGGCTCAGCACTAAGTGGCACTAGGGACACCAGCTGTAGTTAGTGGCACTGAGCTCTCTACACACACCTGGGCAGTCCCTGGGGGCTGGCAGCATATAAGGCTGGGTCCCTGGGAAGTAGACCCTGCTGTGGCAGAGATTTGGGGAATAGTCCCAGAGGTGGGCTGCAGTGCAGTTGCCCCAGAGGACTGGACTGGCCCTGTGAGGAGCTCTGGAATGGGATGGGCCTGTGGGGACCCCTCCCCTCTAAGGTGAGGGCGGGCCTCAGAGGGCTCAGCGGCAGCTCCAAGCATCCAGTGCTCCAGGAAGGGGCTCTGCTCCTGCTGGGGTCTGCACAGCCCCAGGGCTCCCTCTGGAGCAGGGTGGATTCGCCTCTTTCTTGAGTACTGACTCGTGGCCCAGACTCACTTGTCCCTGCTGGGGCGGGCCACTCCTCCCCAGCTCCCTAGGCCTGCGGGACCATTTTAAGAGCTCTGGAGGTTTCAGATCCTCACCAGCCCTTACTGTCCCCGTGGAGCTTCCTTCTCCCAGCTAAGGGGGCAGCGTCTCCCTAATGGCCGTGTCTGCAGAGCCTGCGAGGCTTCATCACAGGCAGGGCCACTAAGGTGACCGTGGGCGGTCCCAGCTGGTCACAGCCCTCCCAAACAGACACTGGAGCCACCACCTGCTTCTCTCCCAGCTGGCATCCGGCCGCCCCTCCAAGCCTCCCCCTTCAGGCTTCCTCCCAGCCCCCAGCTTTGCTCTGCCCTTGGCCCCCAGCCCCTGGAATGCCGCAGTAGGGGCCGGGTTGGGGTGCCATGTGCCTCTGCCGTTTCTCATTTCAGACTCCGAGTCGGAGAAGGAGCGGGCTCCATCTTCTCCCCACCCACAGGCTCCTGAACACGGGGTGGACCAGGATGCGGGGGCACTGAGCAGCCTGCTGAGGACCATCCCCCGCAGACCCCGGCGTGCAGGCAGCTTGGGGCAGGAGTCCGGCGAGGGCCAGCCTCCGGGCGCCGTGTCCTGCACCCAGAAGAGGGGCACCGAGCTGGGGGCCAGCACGCTGGGGGCCAAGCCGCACCGCTGCGAGGCATGCGGCAAGAGCTTCAGATACAACTCTCTGCTGCTGAAGCACCAGCGCATCCACACCGGCGAGAAGCCGTACGCGTGCCACGAGTGCGGCAAGCGCTTCCGCGGCTGGTCGGGCTTCATCCAGCACCGGCGCGTGCACACGGGCGAGCGGCCCTACGCGTGCAGCGAGTGTGGCCGCGCCTTCAGCCACAGCTCGCATTTCACGCAGCACCTGCGCGTGCACAACGGCGAGAAGCCCTACGCGTGCGGCGAGTGTGGCCAGGCCTTCAGCCAGAGCTCCAACCTGGCGCGCCACCAGCGGCTGCACACGGGCGAGCGGCCCTACGCCTGCGGCCAGTGCGGTAAGGCCTTCATCTGGAGCTCCGTGCTCATCGAGCACCAGCGCATCCACACCGGCGAGAAGCCCTACGAGTGCGCGCACTGCGGCAAGGCCTTCCGCGGCCGCTCGCACTTTTTCCGCCACCTGCGGACGCACACGGGCGAGAAGCCCTTCACCTGCGGCGCCTGCGGCAAGGCCTTCGGCCAGAGCTCGCAGCTCATCCAGCACCAGCGAGTGCACTACCGCGAGTAGCCCCCAGCGCCGCCACCCGCGTGCCCGACACCTTCTCGCTGCTGGATGGAGACAGGGGCTGGAGGTGTCACGACTCGCCCAGAGCCACAGCCAGGGGTGTCAGGCCTGCCTGCGCTGAGATGGCCGTAGCAGGGGATGAGGCCGGGCGGCTGGCCTGCAGGCGACTGCACGCTCCTCTGGGCTCCGTGGGTTTGGCCAGGCTGCCTGTCCTCCATCCCAGGCCTGGGGTCTTTGGCAGTTCGGTTTCCTCACTTATTTGGGAGGCTCCTGCTTTTAGTCTGATCTAAATGCAGCACGTCCTTCCCCAGCACGGTTCTCGAATCTGTTTGCTGTCTCACCCCTTGCCTCTGCCTAGTGTGGCTGCCCGAGGCCAGCGGGCTGGGTGGAAAGTGCCTCCTGTGCGCTGTTCCTGCCTAGCCGTCAAAGCTACCACCTGCTCTGGGAAGGTGGGAACTTAGGGTTGTTCAGATCTTGGCAGGTGTAGGCTGCTGCATGATCATCGCTTTGCCTTCAGATCTGGGGAGTCTGGTGCACCTGGCTCTGGACTTCCCATCTCTATGGTCAGCGCAAAGCTCAGGGGAGGGCCCCTGCCCCACCTGTTCCCCTCAGGACAGTTGGAGGACCCCACGCCACACTAATGAGGTGCTCAGCCCTTCCTGAGGCTGCACCTCAAGTCTCACCTCCTTGGTCCCTCCTTTCCTGTGGTGACTTGAATGGAGCCCAGGGCCTGACCTCCAGAGGTCCCTGTGGTGGGCCATCAAGGTCACTAATTACATTGGGACAAGACGAGTTGCCATGCAGTGTACATCTGATGTCAGCTCCCAGATAGGCCTGTTTTCCAGAGGAGGACATGGAGGCTCTGAGGTGCCCCACGCTTGCTCCAGGTCATACGGGCAGTGACGGCAGACAGATGAACTCTGGGCTCCCTGACCAGCCATCCATTGTGGGTCCTCAATTCCTCCTCAGGAGCTCCAGGGACACGGGTCACTGCCTGTCCTCCCCATGAATCCTGCAGCACAGGCTCCTTTGCAGCCCTTTGAGGAAGGTGTCCCAAGGCTCTCCAGGCCACACTCTCGGAGTCCATGGCCACCAAGCATTTCAACCCCCCACCGTGTGTCCCAGCAGAACCCAGATGTGGACTTTTCAGGGCATCGTGTCTACCTTGTGCCCTCCTGGCTTATCAGCATCTAGTTGAACAGGACACTTGTGACCGTCCCTTTCAGGTCCTCCTCGCCCTCCCTTGACTGGCAATATTTAAGGCCTTGCCTGTGCTCCTGCCGTCTTTGTATCCTCCGAGACGAACTTGGATGCAGCACCACCTGGAGCGTCTCTAGCTCACTGGCCACTCTCTGACCCCACATTGTTACCAACCCCTCCCACCCAGGCCCCAGATTTCGGCCTTCGACCTCTCCCTCTTCCCCCCAGTGACCAGGAATCTTCCTAAGGATGCAGTGGTCTTCGGGAGCCCAGGTTTGTGGTCTAGCAGTCCTGATTCCACCCTTTGCATGCTCCCTTGAGGAGCCTCCTTCCGCCTCTGCAAATGGGGACAGCACAGGCCTGTTGGCAGCTGGGAGGGTGGTGTGTGTCGAGGTTCTTGCATGCTGCAGGCACACAGCAAACCTCGTGCAAAGGGCTCCCGGAGTGGCTCTCACAACCCAGGGACAGTGTAAATGGGCGGTCTCAGCACAGGGCCCCCTGAGGCCCAGGCCTGGCCACAGCAAGCATGAGGGAGCATTAGGCTGGCAGGGGGCCAAGGAAAGGAGGGCAAGCACGAGTATCCCAGCCGGGAAGTGACCGTGTCCAGCGTAGTATCTGCTTTTAGCCCTGGAAGGAAGTATGGGGCGCTGAGCCCTGAAGACCCCGCGCTGATGTGGGTCTTCTGAGGCAGCTTCTAGAAGCCTCAGACCAGGGAAGGAGGGCCGAGAGCCAGCCGGGCCGTCGGGCAGGCTGCACAAGCCTGGGGTAGCGACCAAAGGACCGAAATGAGCTTAAGTCTGGGGACGCAGAGCTTTTATTTTTACATGAACATGTGTAGTGTGGGGTGATGGTTAAGGAAATCGACTTTGGAATATAAAGACTAACTCTCTAAAGTGTGCGGTGGATAAGTTATTAATGTCTCTGACCTGTTTCCTAATTAGTAAAGTGATGGATCGGGGCTCTCCAGAGAGAGGGCCAACGGGACGTGCGTAGAGACGGAGGGCGGCACCGTGAGGAACTGGCCCACACGGTTGCGGGTGCTGCATGCTGGAGGCCCCGCCGAGACTGAGAGCCGCAGACCTGCCACCCGGGGAGGCCGAGGTCCCGTTCCAGGCTGCAGGGGGAAGCGGCGGCAAAGAGGCCTTTACCTGGTGGGACGAGGGCCGCCCGCCCCGGGGGGATTCTGCCGCCCTCACCCAGACTCGTGCGGGATGCTCGCGCGCACCTGGCCCGGGCGGTGCTGGTGCTCACTCCCGGATGGCGCTGCACACGGGGACCGGCCGGGCCCCAGCTGGGACACTGCAGCTCGTAACGTCTTCAACGCGCGCACTGGCTTTCGCACGGTTCCTAGATTCTCACCATTAAAGCCAGACACGGCTGTTTGGGGCGTCGCTGCCGGGCCTGAGTTCGAGCTGCAGGAGGGGGTGCCGCTGCCGGGTCCGGGGTCTCTGAGGGGGCGACGGAGCCGGGTCCGGCAGCCGCAGAGAGAAGCGCCCCCTCCCGGCCAAAGCCCCGCCGGAGCAGCGGGC